CAATAAAATACATAACCAATAAAGAAACCCCTCCATACCTCAAAATTTACCAGTCTGCTCAATTTCTATACTTAAGTAAGTGATCGAGGCGAACAATTTGTTTCCCAATCTTCTATTTTTAGAAACGAAAGTCACACACACGTTATAAATAGCTCTCGGGACGGTGTTTTGAAGAAGGCTTATAAGTGATAAGATGCACTTTTCCAAGATAAAATTACAGAAATACTTTATTTTGAAACAACATAGAATTGTTTTTCCAACAGAAAATAAAAGCTGAAGGCCGCTTTAATAGATATCAATTTATGATAAACAACCTCAAATTTAAACTCTGATGGATAATATCATTAAAATTTATTTTTCTTGTATGGTTAAATGACTTGTATTAAAGAACACTGACCTTTAATTTTCAAATCTTTTAACAAGTTGGTAAATCATTTGTGAACATTAGACATAACAGTTTATTGAATATTAAAACATTAACTTAACACATAATAAACATATATTTATTGAAATAACAATTGGTATAAAGATTAAGGCAGGTTTGTAGTTAAATCTATAATTAGGAAGCCTTTAAATTATCAATAAAATCAATCATTCTATTAAAGACCTGATCAATAGGAAAATCAATTGCTGATCAATGCCTGGAGGTGATATTACCATAGACAAGCATTTTCTAATTTCAAAACACAAATACAAGACCTTTTATCAATTTCCTCACATCCTGTGCAGGTAATAATTTATTAGACAATCAATCAAGCAACAGTTTTGTGTTATCAAGATAAAATCAAAAATTACATTTTCAAAGGCACCCTCAGAGGTTTTTTATAAGCATTTTTTGTACAGATGCGTCCTTAACTTTGGAAATATTTATATTGTTAAGTGTCGAAACCCACTCTAATGTCCGAATTTCATTACTTTGTAAATATGTAATGTAAATAAAGTATAATAAGATTCAATTTACAAATATTTTAAAGTTTTGATCCCCTCTCTTAGCTGCTATACAGTATGACAACGGAATGATAAAAGATAAATTTCAATTTGAGAGAAGACTGCTCACATAGATTTGGCAATCGTGAAATGTCTGCAATACAAAACTTGACAATATCAAAGTCTCTGAGGAATTTAGAAAATAAATGAAGTTCTCTTGAACATGGATGGGTAAGAATGTTAATGAATAATATATCTTTGCCTCTTTCTCAATATAAATTTTGGCTGAGTTGGCTTGAATTTGAATTTGGCTAAAATTGTCTGAAATTGGCTTTTAAAGAAAAGACCGAAACTATTTTTGATGTTATATGGTCTGGACAAATCTTTCAGATCAAAACGATCCTCAATTTGACTCTGAGTATATTTCTTTATTTAATTTCAAGTGTTCATAATTTTTTAACTTTTGCATATTTTTCAAATAGCTATGTGTCCCAGTTGATCTATAGACAACAAGTAATGTTTTTTCAAGGCATAACGGCATGCACATGAGACTTCTAAATTTCACAAAAATTTAATGAAACAAATGAATTTTCATAATCTGAAACTGATAAATTTATATCCCGTAGAAATGATTTCATGTCATAAAGTACATTCATTTCTCAAAATACGTTAATTAACAACCAATTATCATTACACTACCATCATATCATTTAATGGAATTTATCTTTAATTCCAGCATATTAAATCTAAACTGTTTTAAATGCATTTTAATGACCATTATTCGATCATTATCTATTTAATTTCCTATAAAACCCAAAGAATATAAATCAGTAATCAATGTTTAAAATGTCATTTAATTAAATGCGCTGCATTGCCAAAGATGTAAAATGTTAAAGATAAATCAGTAAACATGTAATATATATGCATATAGATCTGAGAAATCAATCACTTTCTTAACCCTTTCCCCCATGAACATATTGTGAAAAATGGCCATTTTCACTGAAAAGCCTCCTCTTACAAGTTCAAACTGCTATGAAACTATGAAAAATGCTTCAATACTAATCAAACTTGGCACAAATGTTGACTGGACCATTGCCTTTGTAAGGACATGATCAGTCTTAAATTTCCTGTAACCATGGCAATGAGGGGACATCACAAAATTGCCAAAAATCACTATTTTGCCTCAATTTTTTCCATCAAAATTTATTTCAAAGTGCTGCAACTTCTCAAGGGATTGAGATAGAGTCAAAGGCTTTTCAGCGTTGGTTACACGTTACCTTATGATCGACCTGGGGTCATTTTAAGCCTCTCACAAGTCCAAAATTTTCTTGGCGATGAAGGGGACTCTGCCCCCTTCTGGCAACCCCCCAAACAGAAGGGGGCACATCCCCCTTCTGGCAACCCCCTGATGTATCTTTTGGATGGGGGGCGGCGCCGAAAAAGTGCTCACTTTTTTTAGCAACATTTCTCAAACGAAAACATGTGTTTGGGGCCCAAATAGGACATTTTTTCACTATTTCAGGCCGAAAAAAGGTGGGGGGGGGGGGGGGGGGGTAGTCGAAAGTGCGTTGTTTCGCGTATATGAGGAAAAGGGTTAAGAGAAATTAATTTAAGGCCAGGAATAAAAACCAGACTTAGGAGCTGAGAAAGGTATGTAACTCAATGTTGCATTTATTCTTCTCGCTCTCTCTCATTTGTTATAAACAGACACAATTTCTCTGAATTTTCTAATATTAACTTGAATTAAAATATCAACAGACTTATAATAACTAAGCCTTTACAAATCAAGTATTGTTTTAAGTCAGAGGTTCTGTTTACTTATTTTTAACTAGTACTTTTCTAATTAGGAAATTTTAATATGGTAAACATTAAACAAAATTGTGAAAATATGACAATCGTTTTTAAATGTTTACTTTTTTTCCAGAAGATATTAAACAGTGTTGTCAATAATCTTAGAAAAGGCCGATATTTGTGTCTATTTAATAAAAATGATCATATTGCAATTCCGGGTCTCAGCAAAACAAAGAGTTATGTGCATCACATGTGATTTGAAACACATCAAAGCTCCCATGATCTTACTTATTGAGAACTACTTGTAAATGCTGTCTAATCAAGAGCTACATTAAAAGTTATTTATCATTATAAGTATCTCAAACAATGCAGTTCATGCAATTACGAATATTTTCAGAACTAATTTTTATCCAATTACAAACTGATTTCTTAATTTTATAAATATTTAAAGCTTATTTCTATCTCAATTAATTTATGATTGTTTTGCCAGCACCATATCTTAATTAGAATTCTTGATTATTTTTTTGTCAATTGCAAAGACACATTGAAACTGAAGACTAAAATTCCAGTTTATTCCTTAGATGACAAACACCTTAGATGCTTTTTTTTCGCTGTGCAATATTTCAGAAAAGAGCACAATAAAAATGTATAGCTTCCAAGATTAAACTTGCTGATATGAAATAACAATTCAATTTCCATTAAAGGAGTCAAAAAAAAGCCCACTGTCAACCATGACGGCCAACTGGAGTTTCACCTTAGCCACAGATATATCCTCAATATTCTGGATAGAACACCTTTCCAATAAAGTTATGAGTCAAAGACCTCTAAAAACTAGCAAACTTCATTCTCTTCAATCTAAACTCAATTACAATGCTTAATATAATTTAGCTGGGATGAGATGATGGTACCTATAAATAATTGATTGAAATTTCTAAGAAACAGTTATGAATCAGCAACCACAAGCAACTGTTTTAAACTCCTTACACACACACACACAACTGGCAGGTCTTAGAATCTAAACAATTGATGATAAACTTCTCAACTATTTTCTAAGATAAATGAAATTTATTTTTTTATCAAATTGAAAAATTCAAAATCACTGAAATTTTGAAGTGGAAAAATTTGGCACCAGATAAATTTACAGTATGTACCAACTGCAAGATCATCATAACAAAAGCACTTCTTTGTGAATATTTGCTAATTTTTGTATTTTCAATTAATAGAAATAAAAGGGCCGTTAAACTCTATTAACATTAAATCTGGAGACATTAAATGTAGAAATAAATGTACGTGAGAAAATACAATCTGATACCCCAGATGATGAATTTGAAATAACTGAAAGACAATTTGCATACAGTTCTTCCCTCATAAAATTATCAACTAACAATAATTATATTATGAATGCCATCAAATGTATATGATTCACTTAAGTGCAAGCATTTATAGTAGCAGTCCAAATTACTGACCAATAAAAATTAAGTGCTCAATATTAGAAATATACATATAAGAAACTTAAGCCCAAAAAAACCCCACTCATTTTCATCCCAAAACATATAAGGATGCTTTGAAATGTAATATTGAAGAAAAAAAATCAAAAATTGGAAATACATCAATCACGTCTAAAAGTGGACTGGTTTATGACAATTCCTAGATTCCGTCTAGACCTGTCTTTAATCAAAATGTTTTATGGTCACATAATTCCACACACACTCACATAGAATACTGAAATTCCAGCTAATTTTCTGCTTTCCAAAAAAGTAGAAACAAGAAGTGATTAAAACAGACAAGTTTAATCCTGAAAGAAAGACATTTATGTTTTCTGGCACTATCACAAATATTTTTAATATCTTACAGTTGTCGGTCTTTTTTATATTCTAATCACTATTTCTGTACTTCAAGCAAAGTATGAAATAGACATCTATGATTACAATTTCTCTAAAAGCATCATACACGAATATCTACTTTAATACTTCTTATAATAACACTTAAAGAAACCAAATGCAATTGGACTATCAACTTCAGTTACTTTAAATTCAAATGTTTGTATGATTATTAAATATAATATAAAATATGAGCTATAAAAAAAACAATTTAAATATCCAAGATGATGCATTATGTCTCACATTCCTTAAGAATTCACTTAAGGCAGATTCAATAAGATTCCTTATTAAACTATGAATTGATATACTGACATTTATAATAGCCTATAAATTTAACCTGCAGTAACATTTCCTTTAAATAAACATAGCTAATATGAATTCCATATGAAATTGTAAATTAACTGAAATTTCCCCAAGTGATAATAATCTGATACTCTCTAATATATTAAAACACCAACATTCTCTATGAATTGATACACAATACATGCCCTATGAATTGATACATTAACATTCCCTATGAATTGATAAACAGACATTCCCTATGAACTGATACACAGATATTCCATATAAATTGATACAGTGACATTCCCTATGAACTTATACACAAACATTCCCTATTAACTGATAGTCAACAACATTCCCTATTAATGGATGCATCAACATTCCCTATTAACATATACACTGACATATACAGATATTCCCTATGAATTGATACACCAACATTCTCTATGAATTGATACAATGACATCCCTATAAATTGATACAACGACATTCCTTATGAATCAGTACACTGACATTCTTTATCAACTGAAACACCAACTTCCCTATGAACTGATACACTGAGAGTCCCTTTGAAATGATACACAAACATTCCCAATGAATTGATACACAGATATTTCCTATGATTTGATGCAATGGCATTTCTTATAAATCAGTATACTGACATTCTTTAACAAGTGAAACAGCAAGATTCCCTATGAATTGACATTATCAACATTCCTTATGAATTGATACAATGATATTCCCTATGAATAGATGCACTGGCATTCCCTATGAATTGATACAATGACATCTCCCATGAATTGACACAATAACATTCCCTATGAATAGATCACTGACATTTTTTATCAATTGATACAATGATATCTCTATTAATTGATACTCCAACATTCACTATTAACTGATACAGTGACATTCCCTATGAAAAGATACACTGACATTTCCTACCAATTGATTCACCAATTTCTCCTATGAATTTATACACCAACATTCCCTATGAATGGTTACATTTGTAGTGTATGAAATGATCTAATGATCCAATAAAATGAAACATTATTTTACGTAATCTATAAATTTAAACAATTACTTTCCTGAAATTTCAAATGTAATTTTGACCCTGAAAATTCATTAAAGTACTATATACATAATACATTTTCAAACAATAACTGACTTTTATTAAACTTTGCTATAATTAGCATTAACTTATTTCATTATGACCTTTACTCTTAACTGACCCCTAGAACTTTTATCTTCACTAACAAAAAACTTTCATTTCCAAGAAACTTTGGCTTGAAGAGTCACCTTCAGAGATACTGAATTTCAATCTTAATTTGACCTGCATTTGACCTTTAAAACCATTGCTATAAATAGTCTTAATTTTGACCTTTACAACCATTACTTAACTTATAAATAATCGTTAATCTATTTAAACACCTTTTCAGGATGATCAAAACGAAAGTTATAAATACACCTGACCTAAATCATACCCTTGCGTGTTGTCACACATATATCTCACAATCTTCAATAGCTGATATAAATGCAAAGCCACTAATCTATCAATGAATAAATCAAATTACAATATCTGAAAATGATCTGATAGTAAAAACACCATTAAACACACAAAATTCCATTCATAACACATTTTTTGTTTATCCAATGCTGCTAAATATACCTGCCACAGAAAACAAACAGGTATGTTACTATTCTTACATAAAAACTATGGAGTATATACTTGATTCCTATATAAACACAGTGTTTATGTTTGCCAATAATGCGTACATCCCACTTTCATTAATAGAAATAAGTCCATCTACTTAATGACGTAAAATATTCATAAAATATTCAACTACTACTATTCACTGAATCGTATCCCTTTTATAAAAGATCTTTCTTTTTTTTAACTATTCATATGAATCCCTGACTTTTACAATTAAAGTAAATCGGTGGCGATACTCTTTATTGATATAAATTTACTCTACCCTATATAAATTTTTTTTTAAATCAGTCCAATCTGGAATAAATATCAGATATTTTTCCACAATTTGTAATTATGCATGTCCGATGGGATAAATCATCTTGATTAACAGAAGCTTGGATCACCTATACTTCTCCGTTAGATTTTGCACTGTTAACGGGAACTTTTTTTTTAAGTAGACAACACTTTGATACATCCGACAATAATCCTCGGGAGCTCAATAGAGAATCTCAGATTGACGTATCTCTAATGAAATAATATAGTAACTCTTGTTATGTCCTCGAGTTCGCACGTTCAAACTGAGCGAGCTGACAGTATCCTATCCAAATCAGGAGGACAGATTTTCTTGATATTACTTTCGCTACTCTGTGCCAAAACCTCCAACATTGAAGAGTATTATGGAATGTATTGCTTTTTCGCTAAAATACGGAAATGGAACCGCTGTATGTGACGACATGTGATTAATATAAGATTCTGGAAAAATTATTGAAGTACTATGTTGTCTAAATTAACTATCAGTGAATTTTGAAAAAAATGTACATCTAAAAGGATTAAATATGGCAGTACCAAGAGAAGAATATATATATCTAGCCACATTCATAATGGTAAGCAATTTGAAATTATCTACATTATATAGTTATAGTTGAATAAGATGAAGTTTTCTTACTCGTTTCCTTGGCGATTTATCATGATTTATATAAGGTGCAATGTGAAGTTTTTTACTCTCTGTGGAAACCACTTTGTCTATAATAATGCATTTTAAATAGTTCTGACAATTTCCCTGAAGTGTTCATACATTATCTAACATCATCTATAATATTCTGGCACTTTCGAAAGCTAAAGCTTTTAGTCTAATTAAGTCAATCAATAACATCACTGACAAAATACATATAGCATATGAAAACGATGTCCTATTATAATGCTTTATCAAAATGATAACAAAGTTGTCAGTGATTGGGCACTATCTGAGAAAAGTGCCGATAAAAATTTTCCGTAAATTTCCAATCATTTCAGGCAATTACATTGTAATGTTTCTTAAGCCCCTTGCAATGTCAAGCTTTAACACAATCTAACTAAAAGATATTGGATTTTAAATCCTCTTTAAATGAGGAAAAATCTTTCTGAAATCCCGTCAAGCAAGGAAAAAAATAACAATAACAAATACATTGTTATGACTACTTTATTCCTGGATGCTTTTAATGTGCGAGTTATGGTCAAATCCAATGATTGTCACAAAGTCAATATATCTAATCATTTGCAATACTTTCTCCTTTCACTGGAAAAAATAATTACACCTTATTCAATACACACCAACAAGACAAAATTAGATCCAAGAAAATAAGATCACGATCCAAGTCATCCAGAAGAACTGTATTATAGCAAATGCAAGCTTCCAAATCACACAGATTCAATAATTCCATACATAATCCATGGGCAAAAAATTGCAACAATTATAATGCACCTTTATAAATGTCCTTAGCATATTAATTACATAAATGATTACAGGTGGAAAACGAAAATGAAAAAAAAAACAACAACACGAATATCTACAAAATAGACCAAATCCAAGACACTGAAAATAACAGTTGAATCTTCAGTAATGTGTTGGCATTCAGTAAGTGAATGTTCAGTACAATACATTGTTATAGAGATACCTAGTTACCGAGAAATCTTGTTATTGCGATTATTCTTAGGATAACTTACATTCAGGAAAATCTACGCTGAACACACACTTGCGGAAAAAAAAATAATCAAGAAACCTGCGATGATTAACAAATTTACTGATACTGTTTTTTTAATCAAACAGGTAAGTACATTGTAATTACATCTTTTTATTTTCTCTGATTTTTTTTTCTTAAAAATTTCTTTTTAAACCTTGGTGTAATTTTAGCCAATGAGAAATAAAAACCAAATAATGAATTAAATTGATTTATTTAACCTTATTTCAAACAGAAAGATTTTGTTTATAATTTTAAAATATCTATAAATCAAAGTAACAATAAAATTATATAATTATATTTAGCAGAAAATTCATGTTAAAAGATCCATTATAAGCCTCTAGTTATTTATATTAATAATATTAATTAGAAATTAAATTTCAGAAATAAAATTTCTTCTTTGCTACTTTAACTGTAACTGAACTGCTCAATTTTTATAATGGACATAACTTGCTTAAGAATTGAAACAGTTCCTTAGATAGATGCTTTTCATAAAGCATTATTACCACCCCTGGCCGTCCAGCCATTTTGTGGGTCATTCCCAATATGTCATATGCTTAAGATAAGATAAAAGTCTCTGATAATTCTATCATCTTTATGAAAACTGATACAAATTTTAAACATATTTGTGTTATAATATTTTCCTTCATAAGTATAAAAGAATCTGACAATTCACCAAAATCAACTGTTTATATTGATTTTTTCGTATTTTGTCAATTATATTATACATAAGAATATTGACCACCAAAATTGCTTCCACTTTTGGCACAGGAGGTAAATACTGTAAAATTCCTCAACTGAATTGAAATTGTAAAATTGATTTGTATCATAGTTTACAAATCATCGTATACATATACATGCACAGTGCATTAAATGGAGTGCAGTTATTAGATACCCACACTCCAGAGCATATGCGGTCATTTTTGCTTGGGTTTACTTTTTGGGATGGCAGAGAAAGGGAAAGCAATAGAAATATCATATTCAGATGCTCATTCATTGGTTACTTTTTTTTTCTGGAGTTTCATGTTGTGACAACAGGGAACATGTTTATATGTTTGACTATGATACAAAAGAGGAAGGACATCAAAATACTTGGCTACACCCCTCGTACAAATCAGATAGCCTCGTGTTTCGATATTCTTTCTATTATATAGACATCACTTTCTTCACATTGCTTTTTTTTTTTTAATTATACATTAAGCATCATAATTAAATGAAAGAACTTAACCTAAAATGCTAGAAAGTATTAAACTTAACATTATTAAAGCATCATAATTAAATGATAGAACTTAACCTAAAATGCTAGAAAGTATTAAACTTAACATTAAGCATCATAATTAAATGATAGAACTTAACCTAAAATGCTAGAATTAAAGTATTAAACTTAACATTAAAAGTGAAAAAAAAAATTTACTAAATAATTTTATTTGTGTTGGCAGTGGTTTTTGTACTGATCAGGGGAAGTAACTGATGTGAAGCATTTGTGCAATGATGTTTTAAGGCTGGCCGGACTCAAAGTTGCTCAGCAGCTGACTTAGATCTAGCTTTTATTATCTAAATTTACAAGTATGACAATATGTAAGAAATTATCTCCCCTACATTAGATAGTACATTTTATTATCTCCCTTGCTGTTTACTGTCGGTAAATTTGGCTGTATACTAATATGATTTCTATTATATAAAAATCTAATCACATGAGACAATCAACAAAGACAATCCTGTCTATACGTAATTTCCAACACAGGAAGGAAATATCAGAAGTAAATCAGGGGCTAAAATAATGCAGAACTGTGGTAACAACCTTATGCAATACAAGTAAGTTAACACAGTATTGCTTACTTTTTCTCAACATAATATGCATTTTACGACATTCTTTTCAAAAAAAATTATCTTGTACATATTGCAATAAGTATTAAATGTAAAATTTCTTCATGAATAGTGAATAAATGTTACTTTTTTTGTTCGTCATTTTTTTCACTAGAAAAACGATACAAATACTTTCAATATATATATCAACAAAAGGTAACTATATTATTTAAGACATTTTATGAAACCTTCTTAAATAAAAACTCACGTTTCCTTTTTACTGAAAAAAGAACACTTCAAATTTTAACTAAAGGTCATTATAAGTTATATTAAATCTCAGATACCTTTAAGATTTAAAGCTACCATCACTTAAAGGAAAGATGGTTATTGTATGATCAATATATAAAGTCTATAATATATATATTACATATTATATACATGTATATTATATATTATATATGTACATTAAGCTGAAAAATGTATTTTTTCATAACACAAAATGACATTTAGTTCAGCATCTAGCCAAGAATACCACATAAATCTCTCTACAAAGGATGTACATGCATTCCAACAAGGTAAAGATCCTTGTTTCACATTCTACTACCATCTTCTGCAGACACCAGCTATTATACAAAATGTACTTTCCAAGGTTACTGGACCAACACATTATCTTATTAAGTTTTCTTTCTGTAACGTTATTGTACTGTTTTTAATTTCAAATTGGTTCATTTTTGGCTTAAAAGATGGCACATCCGTTAAAAGAGTATCAATTTAGCAACCGTCACTGTTGTCTTGCCAAACTTGGCTGATACCGCACATTAATTTCTCAATTGCCTCTGATACCAGACCAAGAATTACTTCACAACACACAGACTTACTTGCTCCCCTTCAGAGCTGATAAATGTGATAAGCAGGCTCCGTGTCTAACTTTTTTATTATTAATATTGGCATAGGTTTGCCATTGATGTCCCCTTCACAAATGACGTAAAGGCTATCTTGGTTGACTCTGTAACAAAGGCATTATTTCGTGTAATGTCCCCTTCAAAACTGATATGCATGCTCCTTGCCTAACTTTTTAGTACTGGCATAGTTTTGCCATTATTATCCCCTTCACAAATGGCGTTTGCCCTTCTCTGTAACAATGGCATAAGTCTGCCATTGATGTCCCCCTTCATTACTCAGATATACTGTCTTTAACCTGAATCTTTAATGATGGCATAGGTCTTCCAATAATGTCCCCCTGAACAACTGATATACAGGCTAATTGCCTTGCCTGACACTAACAATGGGGCTGGCATGCCATTATTGTCACAATTACCACAGATATACCGGTCTTATTACCTCGCAATGGCTCAACATTGATGGCACTGTGGTCTACCAATATTGAACAACCAACGATAACACATTATGATAACACAGGTATAAGTATGGATACATCATGTTAAAATATTACCTGATATTTTTATGGAACAATAAAAGAAGTAATAAAACCGGCTCAGTAGATCTTTTCTTATTATCTTTCCTTATCATTACATTGATGTTCTAAGACCAAAAAGGTATCCATAAAACTGAAAATAATTAGGCACATGTTTTTTTTTTTGTTTCAAAAGATCCCTGTTTGCATCATTTTTTTCTTCACTCTTTGAACATTGCATCTAAAATCAAATTTAGTTCACTACCATTTTAAAAAGGAATAGGTACATCAGAGAGATAAAGGGGGATGCCCTTATTAATACAAAGGGTGTTCAGTGAGGTTATTTGATATGACAGGATTAGAAATATTTTCCTGACATTAATTGTACATGTATACCATTTGATGACGGTCTGAACCTAAACTTGTGTGCAAATTTTCTGATCACTCCCTAACTCTTTTTTTTAGTACAAAATGACCCAAAAAGTGTCATGCTGACACCTACACTAGGGAGAACATGTACATGTAGGGTACTGAGCCCAACTATTCTTTAAAAAGTCTAGCTAAAAATGTATGAATTTTGTGCTCTTTTACAACAGGCTTTTGACACTTTCTAAACAAAGGAAACATGACAGTCTGATGATTAAATAGTCTTTAAGATTCAAAGAAAACTGAGCAAATGTTTTGAAGTTTTACATCTCATAAACAACAAAAATAACACAAGAAGCTTTTTGAACATGGTTACACCATGGTCAGTAACCTTAATGACCATGGTCACACCATGGTCAGAAACCATGTTTGTGGCCATTTAACATAACATGGTCAACCATGGCTTAACCATGACCTGTGAGCCATGTTAGTTCATGTTATTTCATGATAAAACATGATACATTTCACCTGGGTTAAGCACTTTCTGCATGCAATATTATAATTATTTGCCAATGGCATCAAATCAGTTCATATCAGTCCTTGTTAAATTTAACCTTTCACTAAGTTAAAGTGTTCATTTACAGACTTATAATTACGAAAATGTCAACAAAAGAGGTCAAATCATACTGTGATAAGAAAATGGCAAAAAAAAGCATATTTTATTATTATTACAATGTTTTGTCCAAAATTTTCACAGATTTCACAGTTCCCTTGAGACTTTCTAGAACTTCTTGTTATAGCATGAAAATGCTAATTGCCCCTGTCAAGAAGTACTTATCAGGAAATATTGCTGCAATTAGCACCCTCTGATATTTCAATATTGGAAAACTCATTAACAGGGTCTATCCTGTCAACAAGAAACTTTCATGATGGAAAATCAAAATAGAGAGTACTTTTTCACAACTGAATGCCAAGAACACCCCTTTCTTTTATTGCTCTTAATTCATTTTTTATAAGTTAAGTTTCTTTAGAATGATTGCAGTTAAAGTAAGTTACGCATGCAATTATATAAAAATAGTGCAAGCCAAATGTTCCTCCCCTTTTGTGACATATTGATTTATACCCTCTCAGTCTTTTTCCTCCCGAAATATGCAAATAATTTCCAGTTGACACCATCACTAATTTGTTCACTTGTCAAGACTGCCAGGGCTCCTATCATTAAAGAGGAACAGCTTTCCTAACATCCTAACAAGATTTATTCTTGAAAATAAACATTCTTGGTCATGAAGAAAACCAATTTATCCTATAATAAAGGAATTACTTCTATATTAAGAAACCAATCTTAAATAAATGTAACGATTAGACATTGAATATAAAAGACATGGCTAGTAGATTATAGGGTTAAATGAGTTCCATATTGTTTTAAGTAGTATATAAGTTATGAGATTGTAATTTTGTGACTTCCTAGATTTTCATTTTGTGGTAGGAAGGACACCAAGTTTT